TCCATAGAGCCTGACACTGCCAGGACCCCCTCCACTCTGACCGCCTCTTCTAATCGCACAGGCTAGCAGACAGACACAGCGGGTCACACCGAGCCGCAGATATTTAATAATTTGATGTATGCGTTGCTATTCATGGACATTTTCAGCACCCTTCTCCTCCACACAAGGGGTATCCGGTAAGGAGCGCAGCAGTACCCTCAACTGACACCAAGCCACGAGTACCGATATTTTTTTTCCAGTACTTGCCGATACCGAGTACCGGAAGTCCCATTCAGGAAGCCAGGCGGCGTGTAATGACTCGCCACCTGGCTTCCTGATTAGCCGGGCAGCGTATAAAGACTCGCCGCCCGGCTTCCCGATTAGCAGGGAAGTCGCCCCAATGCTTCTCGTCACTAGGTGATGAGTGAACATTGAGCCTAAATGGCCGGGAAGCCGGGCAGCGTGTAATGACGCGCTGCCCGGCTTCCTGATAGTGGAAGTATTGGGCTAGGCATCGGAGCATTTGAGTACCCGCCCATATATATGTCGTCGGCACCGATACGGATACTAGTATCGGTATCGGTACATCCCTAGTCACTAGAGCACATTTATATATATGGTTGCTATTGGCATTTTGTAGATACACACAATACATTAGTGACAGTTATTGTCCTATAATGCAAACACATCAGTGCAATCAGAAGGTTCAAAACCAACCTCTTCCTGCAAATCGTTATGATTTCTCCTCTAGCAACCATATATTTCAAATTCCCCCAATGACAGTAATGATATCTGAACTGAGTCACCAAGCAAGTGCAGACTATTAGGCTTCATTCACACTGTGCGTTCTGGCATTGCGGCGACAGAAATCCCAGATATCCTGTTTCCCGATGAACTCAATGACAGGGTGGCAGTGGCTGCATCTGTAAGCGACAGACCACGTGTATTCATATGTGATACAATTACATGCGGTTCAGAATAGATCATTGTACCTGGACGCAGGATACATGTAAGCAGCAGGGATAGTGATCTATTCCAAACCACATGTACATGTATCATATATGATTACATGAGGAGTGAGGACGGCCGGTTACAGATGTGGCCGCTGTCACCTGCTCATTAACTGGAATCTAAATGGGGACACCTGGGATTCCTGCCGCAGGAATGCAGAGTGTGAATGAGGCCTTACAGTCACTGAATGAATTATCGCAAATAAGCTTCTTGCCTTCCAAATGATTAAAACAGACCTCTGTCAGATCCCTTCAGAGGTGGATGGGGTGCCGGTGGCTCAGGTTGGGGTGCTGCCTCAGTCAGGGACAGTCTGACACCTCGCTCTCTGAATGGAGGCGGAGCCTGAGTCCGCCCGGGAAACACTACCCTCCCCTAACTGACCAACCTGGGGCAGTTGCCCATGGCAACCAATCAGCTTCTATATTTATTTACAAAGCTGAATTGAACAAACTGAAGAGAGAAGATAATAGGTTACTATGGGCAACTGCTC